TAAGGCAAGGCAGAGTTACGGTTCTTGTACACTGCACATCTAAATACTCAATGAGATCTATCTACCTACAAAGATTCATGTTGATACCTCTTGATGTTTCAAAGTTATGTCCCGGACAAGAATAGCGGACGGACGGACTGACCGACAAAGAGACGACTATATGCTCACCCTATCGGGGAGCAAAAAAAGTCATGTGTTACGCAACTGGTTATGTTGGTAAATGACCTGGTCACCTCAGTGTATGAGAAATAACACAGGTAGATCTGATTTTTTTTAAACTTCAGTAAGGCTTTCGACAAGGTAATTTATGAGAAAGTACTGCTGTAAAGACATGTCTATGGAATCAGATGTCAAACTTCAAGTTTTCTAGATAACAGGTTGCAAAGTCTGCTGTGCTAAATGGCAGCTGCTCTAAACCCATCCCAGTACCCTCAAGTGTCCCCCAAGACCCCTCCTGTTTCTCACCTATATAAATGACCTACCAGGCTCCCACAAAACATAACTTCCCAGGTACGTTTGTTTGCTGACGATACTGCATATACATTCGAAAATTGGGAGTTGCTAGTGGAATATGGAATTTAACCCCTCCAAATGTCAAGTTATCCACGTCGCAAAAAGGAAACATCCGATCCCAAAACAATATTGCCTTCATGGATTCATACCTCTAGCGTTACCGACATGCTTCACTCCTTTAAGCTTCGAAAACTGGAACTCAGACGTATAGATGCTAGGTTATCCCTTTGCTATAAGATTCGCCATGGTCTGCTTGCTATCCCCATAGAAGAATATGTGACACCCCTCTCCCGAACATCACGTCATGGCCATCACTTATGTTATAGGTTATTCACAGCAACTTCAGACTATTATTAATTCTCTTTCTTTCCTAGGACGGTATACCACTGGAACCACCTATCCCCTGCAGTTACCCTACTCTCTACCACAGAGAACTTCAGTGCAGCCATAGCTTGCAATGGACATGTCTCAACCTAGTTTTCCAGCACCCTGTTTTTTAACATTTTTAATATTCTTTTATCCTCTTTATGAACTAATCATTTGAACTTTAAGGCGATTTTTGACGCCCGGGCATGTATATGTCCCCGCGAGGGGTTTGACATTAACGGAAGATAGATCCACGGATGGTCATGATTCGTTGGAAAAACTGTATGATTTTAGCAAAAACTTCCAGAGGGAAAGAAGTCTTTAAATGGCTCCTGCTATAAAAGAAAAAGCCCTGATATATCTAATATGAACCCTTTAAATGGAAGAATTTTAACTACTTTTTGGTTAAAACTTTACATAATTGATACTTCCGTATTCTAAGTAAATAAAAGAGTTCAAAAGTAATTGAGGCACTAGTTGTACTGTTATATATGGTAAATGTTTTTTTGCCAATCGTTTTTCTTTTTGCCCCACGACCAAGTTAAGTTGAGGGTTCCGCAGAGCAAAAACTACCTAATAAGTGGGAACGTTGGGAAAAATGTCCAGATTGAATTTTAATACAGCGGCCGGGGCCACGGAGCGGAATATTTATTGTTATAGCACGCTAATTAGCGTGCTGTTGTTCGCGCCCTAAAAAGCTTGACGTTTTGCTCAATGTTTTTGCTCCTCGCCCCCGCTATTTGAACTTTTTATCATTATATTTTATCGTTCATTCAAGAGACCTTTTCGATTAATAATGTAACACTGATTGTTATAAAATTTTGATTGCTAAATGATACGAAAGTCATGTTTATCCTTCAGCCATTTAAATATTAACCTAAGTGTCTTGCCTAAAAACACACTTTCCCAAAATAAAGGTTTTTTGAATCTATCTCAAAGTTTACATTGAATTATTTGACATGTTCAATAATATCTGTTATAAATGATAATAAAACACACTTTTTACTTTTCTTATAATCTGAGTATACTGTAATCTATTTTTCTCAATGTCATTTTCTTGAAATATTTCGGTTCATCTGGAAACATGCAACTTTAGATAAGGGTTTCGATTCGATGTTTATTATGTTTGAAATTGTATTTTCTTAACTGATATCACTTAGTCACTTGAAAAATTGATTATGTAATTCTAGAATTCGACCATTAATTTTTAACACGAAGGCCTTAATAATTATGTCAAGATTTTCAAGATTTCAAGATTTATTCAATACTATCATGGTCCATAAGAACATGTGACATAAAATACAAAATTGTGAACATGTAAAAACCGAAACACAGAAAAATATATATATAAACAGGAGAATAAGAATGAGTGACAATTATATTGTATCCTTAAAATACAATAAAGATAATTCGTCACCCAGTTGGTTTTACTCACATAAAGAACATATACGTAAGTTTCTCTCTATATCTAGGAATCTACCTTTCCCAATTGGCATTTTATGATTCTTATGACGTACAGACTCAATCAAACCGAGTCTGCAATTCTCTTGTAATTTTGTTGTGATTAATGCTTCCGATCGAGGGATCACTTTGTCTCCAGATTTTTATACTTCAAAACAGCAGGTGTCAAGTGCTGTGTGGCAGCTGTAAAAAGTTGCCCCGTACTTCACTTCAGTGTTGTTATATTTTTCTGGTCCTTCGGGATCATTGATGCCAGCACTATTAAGTGTTGAGAATTGAGTACCGCTCAAGCCGGTGCTAGGGGGCGTGAGGGATGTTGCACGTATTCATGATCCCTCATGTACAGACTCAATCAAACCGAGACTGCAATTCTCTGGTAATTTTGTTGTGATTAATGCTTCCGAGGGATCACTTTGTCTCCAGATTTTTATACTTCACAACAGCAGGTGTCAAGTGTTGTGTGGCAGCTGTAAAAAGTTGCCCTTACTTCACTTCAGTGTTGTTATATTTTCCTGGTCCTTCGGGATCATTGATGCCAGCACTATTAAGTGTTGAGAATTGAGTACCGCTCAAGCCGGTGCTAGGGGGCGTGAGGGATGTTGCACGCATTCATTATCCCTCATGTACAGATCAATCAAACCGAGTCTGCAATTCTTGTAATTTTGTTGTGATTAATGCTTCCGAGGGATCACTTTGTCTCCAGATTTTTTTAATCTAAATGTTACAACGCCGAAGACAGTTGCCAAGGAAGTATGTTAAAATAGTATTCGAAAACACTCGAGGGTTTAAACATTTGCTTAAAGATTGGACACCACTTTTCCAACTTTGGATTAACTGATCTCGAAGTGTCACATTGAAGGTTCCATGATGACCGCCGTATGAACACATCTGCGGATGTTTTTAAATTCAAAATTTTACTATACCATGTTTAAATGTTGAATTCTGCTTAAGCCGGTGCTACGGGCGTGGACGGTCACTTTCCAGTACCGTCCATGAACAGGCTCAATCAAACCGAGCCTGCAACATTTTCAATTTTGCCGTGTTGGGCTTTCTTTATGGATTCTGTATTTATCTATTATTTGACAAGACTTTTGAAACTAATCGGACTATGTACAGATTTACTTAACCAATAATTTGATAAACCAATTTCGTCCAAAGTATCATTTACAAAAGAAAGCCAGAGTTATTCATATACATATTTAGTACTATATCTAGCATATACAGAGTATGCAGTCTTATATATAAAATATTGAAAATCTTATCGTCTTTCCATTTAAAAGCTTACACCAGTAATTTATAATTCTACTTTAAATTTGCAAAGATATCGGAGTAATTCCAAGTTCACCATATAACATACAATTGGCAGTACTTTGCAGAGGTGAAGTATAATTTTGTAAACTTTAAGCTGAAACTGATCAATACGCTTTAAATTTGCATAAATTGATTACTATATTACCTAGATAAGAGAGAAATTTCATGTCTTCCATACTGATCCTACCTCTAGAAAATATTACCTTTGTTTTTGCAGAGTTCGCTTTTGAATTCGAAACACTACAATATATTCTAGTAGATTCTGTCATAATTCAATTCTATCAACAGAATCAAACGCGTTACGGAAATCTATGAAACAACTATGAAAATTGTCAAATTTTCAAGATTTCTTCACTAAGTTATCATAGTTCATAAGAACACGTGACATAAAATACAACACTCTCAATAATAATCTAAATTTATGCTGCATTAACAAAAATTCTAGAAGACTTATGATACAACGAACGTTATGCTTATTATTTGCATGTTGTAATTATTTCCTTACAAAATAAAGCAAGGGTTTTTAAATGTGATTTGTTTTTACTTTTCATATAAGATCTTCAAATTTTGAACAATACGTAAAGTACAGTATCTATGCATTAGGACCTATAATACGGTTTAATAATTTTACGTCTACTTGTTGGGGACCACCAAAACCGGACAACCACCAAACCCGGACGGTCCCGAAAATGCTTAATTTAGTATTTTCTTTGTTCAGTGGTTGTCAGTCACTTTTTTATCAACAATAAGTGCATGTTTATTTTAAAATTAGGTAAATTAATTTCAACCTCCGTAAATAGTAATATTTTAATGTCTATTTCAAGAATGTTGACGTTGGAGAAAGCAATGCCTGACCTCATATACCAGCTATAATCATTTGCAGAGTGAATAATAGAATATCAAAAACTTCAGCATTTGTTGCTGAAATTTTGTATATCATGTTAAAAATCTAAAATCAAAACACCCCAGCTTTTATCTGAATTAAATCACGTGATGTACATATGTGTCCGTACACATGGTACTGTAGTGTAGACAATCTAGGTAATTTTGATACCCTCCTTGTCGAGCCTCAGATATAAGTGTCAATACAATCGGAAATAAACAAACTAGTTTGTTAGTTAGGAGAAGAACCTAGCTTAACTGTGTCAAATTTTAAGGTCTCTAGGTTAAAAATTATGAAATCTGTACGGAAAAATGTTCAAAAAGTGTCCTGTTGATGGTCCCCGAGTACTATTAGAAAAATGTGAACAATGAAAAAGATAGTGAAGTCACTCAGTTGGCTTGACTCACATAAAGTACATATAAGTAAATTTTTCTCTACCTTTTTATGATTCATACATCTAAATTGTCACTGGTGTACGTGTATTCTTTTTGGTAGTTGTATGTAACGTGACCGGTGTTTTCCAAACCAGTCTGTGTAAAAGGCGTGACGAAAAGCAAAATGTCGGACGACGAACAAATTTCCGAACAAGAGAGGGTAAATTTTGTTAATTGTTGTGTATCTGCGCTTCGACAATTGCAATTGTAAAAGTTATTTCATTAGCTAAATGAGCAATAATTATAATTCTATATTAAAATCAACAAAAATCAAAGACATTCATTTGTAAAGAAAGAAAACATTTGCTATTATTCCTGATTCTTTGATCACTTCCGGATTTATTCAAAGACAGCTGTATTACTAATATTGTTTTGAGTTATTAATTTTGTTTATGATTTCATTGTCAAATAGATTATATTGAAAATGTTAAATTATGTGGTCCTTTCATTTGTGGAATGTTTAGGAAATGTCATTTATATCATCAGGTCTAGGATTTCATGATATTTACGGAGCAAACAGGACGTTTCGGCCCCAAACCAAATCGGCCCCAGTTGAAAAATCGGCCCCTGGACGTTTCGGCCCTTTTCCGCGAGACGTTTCGGCCCCACTATAGTGTATTGCTTGATTGATTAACAACAATTAATTTAATTACAATTAAACAATTATGACACTTTAATTCTTTGAATAATTATTTATTATCTTTTGATTTCTTGAACCATTTAGATATACGTTAATGTTTTTAAAGGTGTAACAAACAATAAAGGCTGGTTACTTACTTTTAAAACATTATCTTTTGATCTTAATTAAACTATACGTAATTTTTTCAAAGTGTAACTAATTAACTGTTAACTTAATGCTAATTGACGGTATTGTTAAAGTGTCTTGCTTCTTAAAATCATTCAAATAAAATATAATCTATTCAGGTTAATAATTGTTTGTTTGTGTATTATATTTTTTCAAATAAAGTTTACAGTATGTTCTGTTTGTATTGATTACTTTCCCCCTACTACTATAATAATCTAGTTTTTATACAAAATGATTAAATATATATATTAATTGATTATTTTTTTATTGAAATTTATTAATATATCGGTTTAAAAGACAGTACTTATTCTGGGGCCGATTTGGTAAAGGGCCGAAACGTCCGGGGCCGAAACGTCTTGGGTAGTTTGGGGCCGATACGTCTTGGGGCCGAAACGTCTCGAAATCTTTACGGACAGTCTGTAAATTTTTGGACGATCCATAATTTTACAGATTTTTTTATCTGTAAATTTACAGACATGAAGTAAGAAAAGAGCAGAAGTTGCATTCAAATTTAAAACCGCATGTTAAAATGAATAAGTTTACGTATTATATGAATAAATGTATCATTCAGTATGGTAAGATTCAGAACAATTTGATGACTTTCAATTTTCACTTTTAACAAAAATTTCAAAATCATCATACAAAGATGAAACTCACCCCATTACCTTTGTAAATATAAACAATCAATAAAACAACTTGTCTTAAGCTGCGGATTTTAGTGTAAAACTAAAAACAGCAAATTTCACATTAAATATCTGTAAATTTATGGATTGAAAAATCTTTAAAATTTCAGACTATCTATAAATTTACGGACAGTCCATAAATATCATGAAATCCTAGACCTGATCATATGTTTGAATTTAAAAACAGAGACTATCTTGCTATTAAAATGGTCCTTTCAAGAAACTAGATAATTGATTAAACACAGATTGACAGTTTCCAACTAGCAGACGACAGGCAAACCTTATAAGTAGAATTGCGAGTAAAAATAGCCGGTTGCGTATCTCACTATTTATAAAACGTATGTAAAATGGTCTGACTTGTGGTAGGTTTAACTGTAAATTTAAATACCTTTAGATTCAAACAATGTGTTATAATTTATTCTGAAACGAAGTGCTAAGATCACAATCTTTTCATTGGTGTAATAAATTTTAAAATCGGATGTAAAATCGCCCGAACTAGCGGTTTAAAAACGGCTAAATTTGTATAGTTTTAGCACTAAGATATCTATTTCCACTTGAAGATAAGGGAAACAACTCATATTGATATACCTTGGTTATAAATGTAGTTCATTAAGAGACTGTCAATGGGTTAATTTTATTTGTGGGAAGCAGGGAATGTTGTTACTCTTCAAATGCAACCCTAAATTTGTTTTACATTCTGTTAACACTTCTTACCTCCATACATTCTTTAAGAAGTATTTATAAGGACAGCCGTCAGATTGGGTGAAAGTTGAATCAGAACCAGATTTTGAAAACTTTCTTATGTAGCATCTGCTATTATGCTACATCACGACTATGTATTAAAATATAGTTTTATGTTTGGAAAGATCTGGACAAGACCGTCCAGGAGTTACCTCATGGTCAAACTGTCACACTCTGGATAGTGGCAATATTACTCAGTCATAAATATCGTCTATTAGTTATATATAATTAATCAGGCAAATTATATTAATATAGAAAGTATATAGAAATGGTGATTTTTTTTAAACGAAGGACAATTTTTTCACCTAGAGTAGAGGGGGAAAATAGGTGTTCAAAAGGTACAGTTATAGAGCAAACAAAAAAAGATCTGTAGATGACACATATTTGTTTAAGCTTAGCTATAACCGAGTTGTTAACATGTCAGATTACTAAACTTATGATTGATAGCCGCATGGGTTCAAACCCCCGTTAGGGGCAAGTCGTCGTTTCCTTGAGCAAGAAACTTTACACTCATTGCTCAGTACTGGTTGGTTCCAGGAACGGATTCGAAAGTGTGTCTATAAGCTTATAGCTTCCTACACAATCAAACTAAAATAAATTCTGTATAAACCAAGTTCATTATATGTCATATCCAACATTTTCTTACAGATGTAGCCTGCATTTAGGGTTTATCAATGGCAACCAAATTGAAACCCAATTTCAGTTGGGGGCATATTATTGAAAGTTTTACTCTTTTTTTTCAGTGTAAAATAGCATCTGATTTTATTCTCCATGCACCTCCAGGGGAGTTTAATGAAGTCTTTACAGGTATGTTCTATGCTTTTTACATTTATTTTATATAATGTTAAATATGGACAGCTTGATTTTGTTCAAAAAATAATTTTTTGACTTCTCAATGTATTTCAGTGGTGATATATTATATACTTTCTGAATCATAATAATGATTCTGATAATGAGGTATTCATTTACTAGTAAAACTTAGCAAATATTCTTAAAGTATTTCCAAGAAACTGAACAACAGGTTAGGTATATTCGTTTATTACTTTTTTTCATTTTTATTCCATTGAAATTATTAAGTGTTTTTTTCATTTGTATTCCATTGAAATTATTATGTGTTCACCATGACAAAGTAATGTACTGATATACTGTAGTAATATTCTGTATTAAGGCATTTTTTATGCTTGCTTTTCTATCTGTATCAAATTTGAGAATTTGAAGTTACTATCAATTATACCTAAATATTCAGGAAAATTGGTTTAATTTTCAGATGTAAGAATATTGGTGAATGATGATAATCTACTGAAGAGTGCTTCAGGGTAGGTAACTCTAAAATGTTGACTACACTATTTATGATAATATTTATATTGTATCTCTAAACTTGTGGTGTTAAAGGAACTCCACTGAGGTCGACTCCAAAGGCCTAAAAACATAAAATTTGAATTTCTTACATAAATTAGCTGGGGAATTTGAAGACCTCAGTGGAGTGCCTGTAATGAAAAAGTTATTTTTTTTTATATTTAAGACTTCAATACAGATTTACACTTACACTAGGAGTGGTAGAGATAAAATATTGTTATAATATACAGTAAGACCTTTTCAAAGCAACACATCTTGGGATACAATGATTTTAATTGCTCTACAGAGGTTGATTTTATTGCAAAGTCTTATTTTTGGAAAGATTGGGTCAGTTGTAAAGAGGGCTACTTTGCAGGGGTTACACTGTATATTTCAATCACTATAACTTTGAAGATACCAAGTATTCTTAGTTATGGGGGCTATTATAAAAACTTGCAACAAGTAAGCTTAATGTACTGTACATGTAAATATACCAATTTCAAATAATTTTTATTTTCAGGTCATTTGCCAAGTATAATAAAGACCAATTTACACCTTGCAAAGTAGATGGGTCTGACGAACAGGTAAATCACAGTTGAAATTATTTTTCCGATATTTTTGCTTACTTAGCTTACCCTGTAAGCTCAAAATGTATACTGAAAGGAAACTGCTAAGTTGGTGTCACATCTCGGGTTCTGTGTACAAATCAAGTTGATGAATCCTCTAGAGAGTTAGTTATGAAACTTAAAGTGGATTGGTCTTCAATGGGAACAAGCATGTTGCCTTGGATATTGATTAAAACAATAGAAATGTTGCATTTGAATATTCATATAAAATGTTTCTTGAAAAAAATCTTGAGTAACATAATTATTTGTGATATACATGTATAAAGAACCTTCTGTTATGGACCAATTCACATTTTTAGCTTGTGAATATCACCTTGTATTTAAAGTATATTTTATAAGAATGACAATGTTTAAATTTAAATTTTATATTTTCTAGTGCTTGATAACAGAACATGGGGATGAAGGAGAAGGTAGATTTTTAGATCCCAGAACCAAACAAACATTTAAGTAAGTATTTGTTTTGATTTTAATGTCCAATATTCTGATATATCATTTGATCTATACATTCTTGAATTTTCAGGTTTTTGTGTCGCCTCTACGGAGTAGTGGCGACATATAGGGATCACTTCTCCGTCGTCTGTCTGTCTGTCCGTCTGTCCGTCCGTCCGTCTCAAAACTTGTCCGGACTACCCCTCATAAACTACTGGTGCAATTTCATCCAAACTTTACAGGAATGATCAGTATCAAGTCTAGTTGTGCATATTGTCAGCATTTTCCGGTTCAATGATTTTTGTCAGAGTTATGGCCCTTTAATAATTTTTAATTTTAAAGTTTGTCCGGACTACTTCTCTTATACCACTAATGCAATTTCAATGAAACTTTACAGGATTGATCTGTAGCTCAAGTCCTTGCGCATATTGCAAGGGTTTTCCGGTTGAATGATTTTTGGCTGAGTTATGGCCCTTTGATAAAAAGGTGTTTTTTTCTGTGTGTTGCCAGATACACAATAGCTTGTCCGGACTACTCCTCATAAACTACTAGTGCAATTTCATCCAAACTTTACAGGAATGATCAGTACCAAGTCTAGTTGTGCATATTGTCAGCATTTTCCGGTTCAATGATTTTTGTCAGAGTTATGGCCCTTTAATAATTTTTATTTTTAAAGTTTGTCCGGACTAGTTCTCTTATACCACTTATGCAATTTCAATGAAACTTTACAGGATTGATCTGTAGCTCAAGTCCTTGCGCATATTGCACGGGTTTTCCGGTTGAATGATTTTTGGCTGAGTTATGGCCCTTTGATAAAAAGGTTTTTTTTTCTGTGTGTTGCCAGATACACAAAAGCTTGTCCGGACTACTCCTCATAAGCTACTGGTGCAATTTTATCCAAACTTTACATGATTGATCAGTACTTAGTCTAGTTGTGCACTGTCCGTCTGTCTGTCCGTCTGTCACAAAATTTGTCCCAACATGAAATTGGCCATTATGAGGCGACACATGTGATTACTGATCGCTCTTGTATCTTATAGTTTAACATAATTAGTCCTGTCTATTGCCTGATTGTTAGGGTCCTTGAGTCCAAACCACTTGCCCCTCACTGCTGTGGTTTCGAATTCCACAAGGGATTGTAGATTATTTCATGTTAGGAATCTATCCAGCTAGGTTTTAGAATGTTAGTGGTTCTACTAAGATGCCTGTTTATGCTTGAAATAATGCACAGAAGGGGACCTGAGATCTTACTCCACCAGTAAAGCTGAAAAGTCACCATATGACCTTTACAGTGTTAGTGCAAAAAATGTAAATAGGTGGTATAAGAATCCTTCAGGCTTTGCATGTATGACTTCTCAGGTCTTAACAATAGCAGTATTATACATATGTGTGTAGTAAAAACTTAAATAATTCTTGTAAAAACCCCTAAGAGCTAGAGCTTAGATATTTATCATGAAACATCTAATGGGTGTCTACCAAGTTTGGTCAAATAAAAGCCCCTGGGTTAAAATTGGCCCGTCCCAGGGACCTATATACAGGTGAGCGATCTCAGGGCCATAATGGCCCTCTTGTTCTTTTATACATGTATATATAATCAGCAGAGAATTTTTAGAAGAGTGTGGTACTTTTTTCCAGGTATGATCATTTAAAGAAGGAAGCATCTGGTTTTGAGCCAGCAGACATGGATAGTACCGCAGAGCGATGGAGAGCGGCCGTGGAAGATGCAATCACAACTTACCATAAAAAATATTACAAATACGGTGTCTCGTCAACATATGGTAGCAGCAGTGGTGGAAATATAACTATAATAGCCTGTATTGAAAGCCATCAGTTCCAACCTAAAAATTTCTGGTAAGATTTGAAAAAAAAAAATAGTATATGTTGACAACAAAAAAGCAATGTAATTTGTAATCTCTATATATGGCCATTTATTTGATGTTCTCTAGGTTTACTTAGTGTAGAGTTTGGAGATCATTCTTCCTTCTGTTACACTTGCATATCATTTCTCATTTCACCAGCTTAATCCAATAGGAGTATTGGAATTGTAATTAAGGGGTCACTGGTTTGGTCCTCGTGCTAGCCTGTAGGCGAAATTTCTTTGTGACAAATGACCTGGGACATTGAGTCTAATAGTCATTTGTCACGGCTGATTCAGACATCATGTGGGATTAGTAGTTGGTCACTTGCAGAGAAATGGTAATAACTGGTTAGTTCTCCAGGGATTCTGGATAAATAGACCAAGCATAAACAAAACACTGGTTAGTTATCTAGAAAAGCTGGTCCAGCCAACTGACCATATAGGTATGACCAAAACATATTGAAATCTGCATAGCATCTTCGTTAATTGACTAAAGTCTTACGATACTTGGTTTTCTTAGTACCTTAGACAGACTTTTACTTGCTAACTAGATAGGTTTTGGTCAAGGTAATCTGGTCTAAAAATAGAATTTTCCAAATTTATTTGCAGTTGTATGTTTCTCTGAATTATTGGTCAAATTCTTATCTAAAATAAGTTTTTTATTGTTATTATTTAAAGAAAATGAATGCTAGTTGTGCCATTGTAATGAGTAATTGATGACTTTTAGATGTATACATTATAATTTAATAATTCACTTTAGAAATGCTTGTTCCTCACTGTCACGTTTCAACATGGTATATTTATTAACAATTAAAAAATTCCCTAGTGTTTTGACACAATTACCTATGAAAAGCATAACTCTAAATCCATTGAAGAAAAAAAAAGATCATTTCAAGATAATTGTTTTGATTTATTATGTTTTATATGTATAATCAGGAATGGTAGATGGCGGTCACAGTGGTCAGTTACATTTCCTGAATCTGGGGGGAAAGCTGAGCTAACCGGTCTTCTTAAAGTTCAGGTAAATACTTTGAAGATATTGACCATACATCTGAAGTGTTGTGGAGGCAGCTGTTTCAGTCCAACACACACTAATGCATACATGTATTTATGATGCATTACCAGATATTTATATATTCTGATAAAATATCTTTCAGAAATGATTTCAATGTAAACTCATATACATATATATAATATATAGAAGTAATTCATTTAGAATTAAGAAGATATGGGTTTACTTCAAACAAGCTTTATTTGTAGTGGTTTTGGAATTATTTTATGTATGAAAGTTGATCAGCCTTACAAATTTGAAAATTTGATGTCCCTTCGTATTTTCCATTAATATTAGAATAAGATAAATAAGCAATATTACTGAATGATTCTCATGAGTTAATGTTTTCATTAACTTTACATTTGAATAGGTAAATCAAAATTCAGCAAAATAATCATGTTTCCCACTGAAATTTACTTACTAATAGATATAATAGACTTGTATTTTAACAACTTTTTTATACATAGGTTCATTATTATGAAGATGGAAATGTACAACTGGTGAGCTCAAAAGAAGTCAAACACACTATAAATACACATGTAAGATTTCTTTTTTCATAAAACATTTTACAGGCAATGCAATTATGTAATCCATATTGTGTGTGTTAGTAAATGTTAAAGTTGAAACATTTTATGGTTTGCTCTCTATTTAAGGAGTATTAGCCAGGTGGTTAAGGTGTCTACCTCTTAGTCAGGGAGGTTGCAGGTTCAAACCCTACTGTGGGTCACAACCATTTTCGTTCATATGACACCAGAACTGATAACTTCTAGGAAGTTGACCTTAGAGTGGCTGATTTAAGATACAAGCTCTGCTTATAATACAGAGCTACAGATAAGCTTTTGAGTTAATTGGGTATTTACCCCTGGACTTGACAAGCAATTGGGTAACACAGAAACAAAATTGGGTATCATTGAAAAATTTATTGGTTTGCATAGATTTGCATCGGTCAAAATATTGTCCAGGATCTTGGAAACAATATACACAAAGACTGTAAACAAACATTGTCTAAAAAGTTCATTTAACAAATTTTTTACAACATCTGGCTCAGTAAAATAACCAAATATTTTGTTAGACTGCATTGAAATAATTAATTTTTGTCAGCCCCGTTTCGCCATTTTGTTGAAGCAGAAAGTAAATAAACCTCAGTCTGGACTGCTATTTAGTTATCTCTCATAAGTATATATAGCTTTTCCGCGAAAAAATATCTTTAAACCAGTCTACTCAATTGTTCCCGGTTAACAAATGGAAAACGGAAGTACAGAAAGGGAAACAGGCTATTTTCGGATTTGTTTGGCAGTTTTTGCTAGGTGAATTATGGTCCAAGATATTGAAAATACGCTAGAGTATAAAAAAAAATTGGGTACTGATATTTTGATTTGCGTTTTTATTACGCAAAGATTTTATTTTATTTGGGTAAATTGGTCAAAATTATTGGGTAATTACGCAGATACGCTGCTTATCTGTAGCACTGATAATAGTATTACAAAAAAATAAGTATATACTGAACTGTCCATGTGTTCTTTCCACTGATAATTGATGTGAAAGATTTTTTTTCTCCACTCCTGAAGAAAAAATGAGATTTTCTTTTCATATAGTAGTGGAATATAAGTTTTACATAAATATCGATTTCTGACTGTGCATTAAATTATCAAACAAAGATAAATTGATTAAACATACTTTATTCAATATATTTTGTTCTCTCAGCCTGCAAGTAACAATTGTTTCTACCTTTGCAACCAGTTGAGTCACATCCATGCTATCTGATCATGGTCTGCCCTGTTCGCTCTTCAGTCAGTACTTATTTTTGAAATTTTCCCCTTTAATGAAATGATAAAGGGTTTTATCCAGATTGAAAGCTTGATAAGATATTTAGCATGGTGAAGATATCTTCAGTTAAAGTTTTGATAATTTCAGTTAAAGTTTAGGTTTTGATACTTTCAATTAAACTTTTCAATTGGCTTAAAGAATTATATTTGTTTAAAGGATGAACAAAAAATGGCGAAGGAGTTTGTAAAATTTGTTGAAGACTGTGGCACAGAATATCAGGTAATACAAAAGACTATTTATTTATAGATACAAGATTCTATAAATAGTAAGACATATGTAATAGATATACCATTGCTGCGTTGACGATTTCTGGGTTTGCGTAAATTATACCATAATCACGTGACCTTTCTTATGCCTTAACCTCACGAGACGAAGTCATAATTTACGCAAACCCAAAAATCGTCAACGCACCAATGGTGTATCTGTTTTAACCTATAGCTCGGCCCAGAAACACTTACTCCTTCGATCTTCAAAACTGAAAATCATACCATAGTCTGGGTATGGTATAATTTACGGTTATTGGAAATTATACTTGGAAGAATTTTACATAAGAAGCGCTGAAGAGCTATAGGTTAACTATTTATAAAATATTCTATAAATAGATAAAAGAGTTACTAAAAATAGTTTGTATTTTTTAAATTTTATTGAATGAATTGTTTAGGCAATCAAAATCTATGTTACAAACATTCATTGTTATAAAGATAATGTAAAATCCATGAAAGATTGAAGTTCCAAATGTGCAGTATTATCTAGATTATGTAAATGTCACAACAAACCAATGGAAATTGAATGTACGAATGTGCAGGAATTTAAAATATATGAAAATATCATAATACTCCAATAACAATGAAAAAAATTGTATAAATATATATTGTTTATCCACTTAATATGGGCATTATAAGCATGCTTTATTTTAAAAATTGTTGCAATATCGCAATAATCCAATTAAAATTGTAAAGATACTGTAAATATACTGTTATCCAATCTAAATGGACCGTACAAATATGCATTATTTTAAAAATTATGTCATATCAGGATCATCCAATAAAAATTGACGTTACAGATTATGTTACTTCGTTTCAGACTGCCATTACGGAGAATTTTGTGACAATGAAGGATACCACATTCAAAGCATTAAGACGTCAACTTCCGGTCACTCGCACCAAGATAGACTGGAACAAAATTTTAGGTTACAAAATCGGCACTGCTTTAAATAAACAAAAATAATGCTAGAATGAACATTTAAATGATTACATAGACTATTAGAATGAATCCTGAAAAAACAAACTTTGCCATGGGAACAGCCACTATATTGACTTTGTTCGTTTCGTTTTTTTCTGTATACTTGAGTCATTTCAGTGCAAACTACGTGTACGATAATGGTGATTTTCATTTTATACATGTACGTCTGTGTATAAGTCGATTGTTTTCAAACAAAAGAATGTGGGTTTTTTTTTTCCAAGTGTCTGGGAAAAACACAAAAGTTCATGCATTTATGTTTACAATGAGTATAGTGCAAGTAATAACATTATTTAAGAAGAAAAAAAAACAGATACAAATTGAAACTCTGTTTAGGAATTAATTTCATTTAACTTCCTTCATTTTGAACATATAAACAATCAGTAACAAAAGAAATCAGGTTTTTTTTTGTTGGTATTTTTTTTTATTTTTTTTTTTAAATTTTGATCAAAAGTTGTACTATAAGATTTATTTTAGGAATCAGTGTTAATGCCAGCATTTTATGATGTCACATTTAATTAGGGACCTGTAATCTGCTATAATGTGAAATGGATTAGCCCATCTGCCCAGCTTTAAATTTGGAACAGTCCATTTTAACTTTAAGGGATTTTTATTCTCAAAATACAAAAATTGAGCTACAACCAGTATAGAGCCTGGTCAGACTGCACAGAGTTGGTTAGACTACGCGGAGGTGCAGGTTGACCTGGCTCTAAACTGGGGTCTGGGGGGTTAAGTCTTGTCACTTCGATACCAGCTTGGTAAAGGTTAAACTAAATATTAAATATCAGTTGTAATGTTACAAAGTATGAATATTTGTATTGAAATGAATACATAAGATAAACTGTTGACTATAATTCACAATTCTTCATGTTTCAACCCTATTTTATCATCTCGTATTGCAAAAAATGGGATATTAATTTGAAAAATTACTTCCTTATTTAAACAGGCCATGTCAATTTCTTTTGTTTGGTTTACGTCTGACACAGATTCAGTCTCTGAAAAATGATATATTTCCTTTTTTGTTAATCAAACATGAAAATCTGTTTCCCCTAAACGAGGAAAATAAAGTTTTATCTTACAATGGAGGATGACTAAGGTCCTGTTATTTTGTTACAATGTATCTGACCAAAATAAAGAAAAGTTAACAATACAGTCTAACCAATGTTGAACATAGATATTTTAATTTCAAATACAGTGAAACCCTCTTATACCCGTACATTTGTAATCCTAGGTGTTTTTCAAATTTCTCAAACTTATTCTTTTCACTATGCCTTTTCAAACAGCTATTTAATTTGTGGCTATTGGGAACTTTTTTTGTTTAATTAAGAATGTCACATTCTAGAGGTATTGTATTTAGGATGAAATTGCAGTATAGTATTAATATACCTATATGCATGAAGACTGCTTTTGCGCTTTTAATAAATTGTGTTTTTGTAACACGAGATTCATTCCAGCTGTTATAAAGTGTATGTAAGATACTATGGCATGTTGAATTGTGGTTTGTTTAATGATAAATTACTGAAAAGGATAGATGATTTTTTCTAATATTTTACCATATAAGGCTATTTTGATCTTTATTGAAAATGTAGGAGTAAGAAATTTATTGCTGTTAGCTTATTTAGTAGGTTTACTTTTTCGGGATGTGGCGAGCCTCTGTGGAACATGCAAGATTGCCGACAGTGGATCATGTGACCTTTATGGTCTGTGGGTCAAAATTATGTTTGTAGTTCATTCTATGTAGGTGCCTTCCTGAATTCTACTATTGGTGACTCGATGGGGAAAGTAAGTAGTCTTGTTCCATGAAGGAAGCTGGAGGGCCTCAATATCACTCCCCTTCATAGTCCTGGCATTTTAAGTCCAATAAAAGATTAACATTTTCTTTTTCTTCAGTTTTCATTCTTATATTTGTTACTTTGTCATACGCAGTCTCAAACAGAAAAATATTTGATCAACGGAAAGAGGTTGACATCTTTGTTTTTTACCCTATTTTTCATTAAACTTTGAAACTTTTCATTAAATGGATTTAAAATCACTTGCCATTGTATTAAATTTGCAGTAATGTTCATTTTTCATATTATGCTGCAGAACATAATGTAAATTAAATTTATAAATATTCATTGATATTTTTTTCCTTTTTCAATGTGCAAAAAGGAAAAATAAGGTTTTATTTTCATCTCCTGGACATAGACTCCTAGAATGTTTTTGAACTAGAAATGAGCGGCGTCACGACAAAACCAACTTAATATGTTTGCGACCAGCATGGATCGTGACCAGCCTGCGCATCCGCGCAGTCTGATCAGGATCAATGCTGTTCGCTATCAGTTTCTCTACTTGTAATAGGGTTTGCAAGCGAGTCTGGATCCATGCTGGTCACACACGCCTTACGTTGGTTTTGTCATGACGAGGCTCTAATAGTTATAGAGATGATCAAATTTAAATCTTAGTTTAACTAGATAAATTAGAGAAATACTTGACCATTGTCTTTGGCTGTGAGTCAACAGCTTATATTTATGTCATATAATATTTACAACCTCCGCAAGTTATTTATATTATTGTTAATGTATTGTCAATTCTTTATGCATTTAAGAGAGTTGGTTTATATTGTTTCAGAGTGTGGTTTTGATGCTATGTATTATAAAGTTGTGTAGCTCTGATTTGAAAAAAAAATGCTAACCAATATGTTGCAATATTGTATCTCGTATTTTAGCACACACATGTCAATAAGCAAACAAAATCTCAAAAAAATATTTTTTTGATAATATACATGTATTTATCAATATATATATAAATATATTATAGTTAGAACATACATGATTCTTTTTATTTGAAATTAAAAAGTTAATTGTATTGCGCAATGAAGAAACTGAAGTAAAGTGATGTAAATGTAGTAAAACTATATTATTTAGTCGTATGATACCTAGTTCAAAGTTAGCTTATCTACCACAAAGTGATATTAAATACCACAAAGGAGGCAGCTGTTGTTCTCATAGGGAACTGAAAAGTGGTAGCAAAATGTTATTATCAATAGTTGTTTTTAAATTTTGATGATTGGAAATTATATTTTTTCTAACTAACCTGAATGTTACGCAGTTAAAGAGTCAGTGGATTGACGTGTATAATTTTTTGATGTGATTTTCTTGCTAAGAATTTAATTAATTACGTTAAGTATTTTTGTGTTTTCATTTCAAATAAATGTCTGTTGTGTAGTAAAAGTGTGCACTTAAGCTGTGTTAAGTACAAAGTTGTTGTGTTCAAACATTATGCTGAAAATTGTGTAACATGTTTAGTTAAACACTCTTAGTATAGGATGTGTTCCAACATGGAACACTCATGTGAGACACTCTTGTGGAACACTATGTGTTGTGGGAACACTCATGCAGAACACCATTGGAACACTCATACAGGAAACCATGCTGACACTCTGGAAGATTACCATGGGAACACTCAAGCAGAACACCAAGGAGACACTCATGGAAAACTCTGAGACACATGGAACGTGGAACACAAGTTAAACGCTCATTGAACACTCATTCTGAACACTCGTCTATTGTAGTTTTACAGTGAAATAGGGAATTAAGAAATGTTTCATTTACTATCATTTATGGCTGACAATTATGAGTGCTTGATTATATATTTTTTTGGAAATTAGCCAAGTGTATATAAATATATATGATTTTAATTACCACATTACTTGAATTATATGCAATCATCCAAAATTTGTTCAATTCTTTTTTACCCGAATTCTGTTGATATGGGTTGGCGGGATCTTGATGGCTGAATAGTCTTGGAGACATTTAACGTTAAGCGTACAGGCAGAAACCGAATCTACCCAAGCGACCAGTGCAGACCAAGACCATCTACACTGTCTTCTGTTTATTTAGTAAATATTTTTTTTTAATTGTTCCTATATTAATGTTGTTTTGTTTCCGGATTGCAAAATGGGAAAGTTTATCCAGTATAGTGAGAGTGGTTAGGGTTAAACATTTCCACAAGTGATGAAAACATTCCAACGAGTGATGGAAACATTTCCTGGGGTAATGGAAACATTTGCATGGGTGATGCTATGCCAATTTGGTCTCATTTTATAGAAATATTCTAGGTTAAACCTCTGGGTTAAACCTCTTATAATGTAGTACATAGTATAACAGTAAATAAATTTAAGATATCATATAAAAAGTACAGTATTCATTGTTGACAATTTCAAAGGATTCCAAGGTTTAGCAACAGATGCCGAAATCGCTAGACCAGCAGGTCATCCATCCCCCGCCACCCTCCCTCCATCTCTGCTCATCTCTCTATATGACAGTCATGATATCATCCGAATATTCGGACACAGAGAGTACTGGCGCTGATCATGTCACCAGTAACGCTCATGAAGAGAAATTTAGAGGATAAAATTGTTAGAATTTATAAAAGAAAAAAGGTATGTCAAACCTCGATGTACAGTATACCTTGAAAGAGATTGGAGGAGTAAATAGTCTGGAGTTCCTTCCCCTTTAAGTTATACTAAGTAAATGTAGGAAGGGAACCAGGCTAGAGTACGCTAAGGAAGACGTCATCTGTTCTTAATGATAATACCAGGCTATGTTGGTAACAGGTTTGGAGGTCTAGAAAATAGGGATTGTAAGCGGCAGACAGAAAATAAAAAAGAAATACTAACCCTCTGTTCACTATTTTATAGAATTCCAGCATTTTATTTTTGTCAGAGCCAAGAATTTTCTCAAGTAAGACATGCTGGATAAAGTAGTACGCTGATAATAATGTTAAGGGGGTAGTTACGGCGTTGCATTACTCGTTGCCACCGCCAGTATCTCTTAAAGGGGAGAAAATCGTATTAAATTGTTAATATCAACTTAATGCGGTTACCTCCCTTAAATTCAGACCATATATTAACGACGGAAGAGCTATTTTTGCATACTTTGGCCTGTTTACATTGGTTTTAAGTGCCGTTTGCAATGTCTTAAGTTTTTTCTTTGTTCATTTCATGATATTTTACAATCAAATACATTTTCCAAATTCATGTAGATTAGCATGAATCCGGGGGCATGCTGCTTTAAGGGTTAACAGATCGGTATCGAGAAGAATTAAAATTAGTTTTGCGATTATTTCAGCGGTATCCATGAAACGTTTTCCATGTCATTTAAATCTAAATAGATGCCTATTTTAGTATTACATTTCTTGAAATAACGAGAAGACTAGTGCAGCAAAATTACGCAAGTACTTGTTGCCATTAAGTTAAGGAAACGCGTACAACTCGATTTTTATCTGTCCAGGGGTGCAAACCCTAAGATTATGTAGATAATTTTTCATAGAATGAAAAAAAATTATGGGACTTCAGATACTTTCGTCTGAACAAATTTAGATGCAACATACAGTGTTTAGTCTGAAGTATAGTTGAAATTAATGATTGTTTGAGGTTGCGTTCGTGGTCGAATTTCGATTCCCGCCAAAAACTCCGTTACTCTTTCGTGCGAGAAAGCTATACACCCAGATTACGGAACGTGGATGGTACTACATGTACTCAGATACCCGCTCGTTCCTAAAATAATGCACGGAAAGGTACCTCAGGTATTCTCCTATAAGTTAAGCTTTCAAGTCGTCTTATAACCTCTAGTGTGTGACGTTAAACCCAGCTAAAAAGAAAAAAAGATCATTTATGGCATGCGCCTTGATATATGTTCTTGTCCTTTCAGAAAATTTAAATCTGACCTAAGCTGTAAAATCATCTCATTACACATTATATAATTTGTTGCCTTTGTCGATACTAGTTCTCCATCATTTGTTAGTTTCTTAAAACAAACCTAACATACATGAAGATTTTTTAAAAATAAAAATAAAGGTCCATTCCAATGCCGTGGGGGATGGGGGGTGGGGTGGAGGGGGAATCCGGGGTAAGGATTTCTCTCATCTGATTGTCTCTGAAGGCTTTATTAGTCAAACTTGCTATCCGCTATTCTCCAAAGGAGGTTCGAGGTCGGTGGTACAAATTTTTTTTACGTTAATAACAAATTACATAATAACATATTAAATAAAATTTTGTTATAGCTCTCTATTTAATTATCAAAAGAGAATTTTGTACACCCTTCTATAAACACTGTCTAAATTCCTAGATCCAAACGTGAACAGGTTCAATGTTAAATTGATTATTACGTGTCAACTGATTTTCATTTTCAAAAAGATTCTTTTTTTCACCTCCTCAAGTCATCCCCCTTGGTTGTAATTAATCAGCAGTTTTGATAAAAGAAGTTTTACCCATTTACAATGGTATATTAATTAACCTTACCCGCCATATGATTAACATGTTTGACAACCCATCATTACTGATGTATGCAAATTTTTAATTCATTCATCGGTATTTGTCAAGTCTGATTTTTATAATTAAAATGTTAGAAATGTAAACCTCTTGAAATATTATAGATTGTACATAACCTAGCTGGGTCTTCTTGAATTAAATTATTTTTAAAAAAATATACGTGATTTTTCTTTACCTATTTTGATACGTGTCACGCGAAAGGTTAAGATGCCAATTTTTTTATACATGTATATTGAATTGGTGTTTAAATAGATATATCGCAATACTTTCGTTATTAATACAATTCAGAAGAGTATCGCACCAAGTTAATTATGAGGCGTTCACTCAATCGCAACTTTTCGGCCCTTTCCGCCGATCTTCGAAATGTTGAATTCATAACTTTAAAGACACATTATGCCTCAGAAATGAACATTTTAGTTATTTTCAATTTAGAAGAGGCTAACACGTGGTTTGGTAATGTTTTAGTAATGGAATAAAAGCATATATTAAATGTTTATCAGAAGACGGGCTATATATCAGAATCAATAATGAATTACATAAAGCTAGCAAAACGTACATGTAAACAAAGAGGAATCCTAGCTGGTTTCCATAATGACCAAAGATCATTAGCTTCATGTTCTTTAACAGAAATTGTAATAGGACACCATAAATCAAAACGATTTTGAGAAATGAAAATAATAACATTTCTTTGGGACTTGATGGGCCTTTAAGTATATACTGTTTACACTGTCATATAATTGTAACTATTCAAAAGGAAGAGATACCGATCATGTCAATTGATCAGTTGAAAGAAGAATATTTCTATCAAACGTGTATAAACATATAAAGTTTGCCACTATGTCATTATCATGTTATTTGATATTAAATTCCTAACTGTTCGAAAGGGTGCTTTTCGTTATTCAATCTTAAAATACAAGTAGATCTACTAATACAAATACACATTTCTCCCCGTTTGTCATCTTTTTAACAGTCTATAAGTTCAAATATTTTAGAGCTTGTATATATTTTAGAACAAGTATGTATGCATAGAAAAAATGTATTTGTTAAATACCGTCCTGTTACAACCCCAATCGTCATAATTATTGTGCTGGTTCAAAATAAGAATATGAGTTTATTACTGATTTGTTGTTTGTTGTTTTTTTCTTCACCATGTCATATGAGCTTACTCGCATTTTGAAACATCCGCGCCCCTATTCTTATACAGATTCTATTCATCCGTTATAATTCTCCCCGAGAAAAAGACATCCAAGCGAGTAATCTTACGGGTGGAAAGACATGAACCTAGTTTGGAGAAATCTGGGATGTACTATAACGTATCGTTTGTTCCAGGAGAAATGTATCGCAAAAACACGAACAATCTTTTTTATTTGAATTCCCTATTCATTCCACTTATCATATTAAAATAATACCAGAGGAGTGTTTGAAATCATTGACCTTACGCCCGTATGTCACTCTAAACTTGAGTATTTAATCTGTAATTCCATTAAAGCTTTTAAAACATTTATCTTGCCAGTGTTTACCGAAGTCCTTGAGCTAATCATCACCGTATATCTCTTCACACGTCGGCATACAACTCACGTCAGGCTGGTATTTGATGTAAAAATGTTTAACATCACCAGAATAGATTGGTAACCCCCCCCCGATAAAAATAAATAAATAAAAAAAAATCAGATAACAATTTTAAAAAAACAACAACTAATAAATAAAACATAATCTAATCAAAATAATAATAATAATAATTATGGTAAATAATAATAATAATAATAATAATAATAATAAAAAAAACGTTGCACGTGTAATTTGGGCTAAATTTATCTAAATACACATGTAGTACGGCTATGGTTACTTGTACTAAAGAGTACCAATTCAATTAAAAAATCAAATACCAAATGCAATGATCGAAATGGCAACAGAAACAACGAAAAACAACGATAAACGATACAATTTCGTGGCCACGAGATAATTAAATGATAAAATATTCCTACATGTAACTTCTGCCCTTTCGTATTAAACCAACCAATATTGACTTAATCGACAAGTCTTGATGCGTTCGAAAAAATATATATTTGTAGTAACCGATACTAGTAAATCAGAGCATTCGACAGTGGATAATGGCCCATTAATATATTTTATAATGACTTTTACACTCGAGTTAGAAATTATTGCCGCCCGTTTCTTTTTCAATATCTAATGTTTATATAATATATATTTCTTATTGGTAGAGAATAATCAACTTTTCCACTCCTTATCATGAAGGTTTGCCTTGAGATACCAACCACGGAGATGCCAGCCGTGGAGAAAAGAGCCATGGAGGTACCAGCCGTGGAGAAAACTTGTCTTGGAGATACCAGCAAAGAAGGCACCAGCAATAGAGATTCTAGTCATAGAGATACAAGTTATGAAGATACCAGCCATGGGAATACCAACTGTGAAGGTTCCAATCAATAGAGGACCAGCTATGGGGAAACATGCCCTGAGTTACTAGCCATAGAGATATAAGCAATGATAAGCAATGGGGATACCAGCCATGAAGTTACAAGCCTTGGACATACCAGCCATGAAGATACCAGCCTTGCAAGGAGATACCAGCCATAGCGAAACCAACCATAGAAATACCAGTCATGGACATACCAGCCATGAAGATACCAGCCATGCAAGGATATACCAGCCATAGCGATACCAACCATAGAAATACCAGTCATGGACATACCAGCCATAGCGATACCAACCATATAAATACCAGTCATAAAGATACCAGCCATAGCGATACCAACCATAGAAATACCAGTCATAAAGATACCAGCCATAGCGATACCAACCATAGAAATACCAGTCATAAAGATACCAGCCATAGCGATACCAACCATAGAAATACCAGTCATGGACATACCAGCCATGAAGATACCAGCCATGCAAGGATATACCAGCCATAGCGATACCAACCATAGAAATACCAGTCATAAAGATACCAGCCATAGCGATACCAACCATAGAAATACCAGTCATAAAGATACCAGCCGTAGCGATACCAACCATAGTAAATACCAGTCATGGACATACCAGCCATGAAGAGAAACCAGCCATAGCGACGCCAACCATAGAAATACCAGCCATAGCGATACCAACCATAGAAATACCAGCCATAGCGACGCCAACCATAGAAATACCAGCCATAGCGATACCAACCATAGAAATACCAGTCATGGACATAATAACCATGAAGATACCAGTCAAGAAGATACCAGTCATAGTGATACCAACCATAGAAATACCAGCCATGGAGATTACCAGCAATAGCGAAACCAATTAATAAAGTCACCAATTTAAAGCGTATTTAACTTTGCAAAGTCAGTTATGATACTCAGTACTGGAGAAAAAAAATCAAATTGAGCGCTTAGTCATTCTCCCTATTTTTGGTTATTTTTACGTAATATATTGGCATAGAAGAATCAATGTGTAAAAGATCACCACATTTTATTTAAAAGCTTTAAAGCTTTAAAAAAAAATCGAGCATCTTTGATCCCGGGGATTTAAGATACGCGGCAATGACTTTAAAGTTCACCTTTCAAACACTTAAAACAGGAAGGAATCTGAAGTCATATTTCCGAACCAAACAAAATGTTGACTTTGTAAACATAATAATCAAATAATGCCTCGCGAAGTTAACAAACATTGAAAAGAATTCGAAATCAAGTTTTAATATATTCAGTAATCCAATATTTATTCTACCATATCCTATCAGACTAAGACTGATTTTTGTCAATTGATAAATATTTACTCCAGCAAAGTTACTCTAATTACATTATTGCCTATTCAAAATTAACATTTCATTTTGTCAATATCGGAATTTCGAATCCGCATGCGTCTATTTTTATATCTGGTCACGTGATCGGTGTTGACATCACGTGACAATTTGTCATAAGTCTGGTTTACTGATTAGTTAATCTGATGTGTTTAGTTTAAATGGTACTTGAACGCCGTAGTGTCGACAGTTATTTATATGTAGTTATGCAGTGAATTTAAGGAAAACCTTTTCTTTATCATGATTACATATATCTTTATAGGAATTTACGTCGCTCTGCAACTGTCAGGTAAATTTTTTATTATGTATACATTGTCTTAAATTTTCATTCACCCCCTTCTCTATGCTTGTATATACTTTCTTTTTTTTTAAAATAAATATTTCAATTTTAATTACATAGCAGAAATAAAAGCTTACATGAACTCATATTTCTTTTCTGATACACATAATTAATATTTTACCGGCAAGTTTTTTTAATGTGTTATAGGGTAAAAAAGCTAAGTAAAATCAGTGTTATACGTTACTGGTTTGGGATCAGTTTTCATTTTCATTTGTTTTTATTATCTTTAAGATTTGTTTGGGAGATTTTTCAAGACATTCGGGTCTTTTTGAAACACTATCTTATTTTGAAATGATATGGGCCATTGGTTAAAAAAACATAATTTATATAACTTCCTTTATCGTTACAATTTAATCAGTGTCGAGTGTCGATTGAGAAAAAAAAATAACATACACAAATGATATTCTGCCTTTCCATCTCTCCCAATAAATAAATAAAAATAAAAAATAGAGAGATAAATAAATAAACAAATAAATAATAATATGCAATAAATAAAGAATAAGTAAATAAATGATTTAAAAAAAAATAATAAAGAAAGAAAGAAGAAAGAAAGAAAGAAAGAAAGAAAAAAAGAAAAAAAGAAAAAAAGTAAAAAAGAAAGAAAGAAAGTAAGAAAGGAAAGAAAGAAAGAAAGAAAGTAAGAAAGGAAAGGAAAGAAAGAAAGAAAGAAAGAAAGAAAGAAAGAAAGAAAGAAAGAAAGAAAGAAAGAAAGAAAGAAAGAAAGTAAAAAAGAAAGAAAGAAAATAAGAAAGAAAGAAACTAAAAATGGTAATACAAAATTAATAAAAATGAGATACTTAAACAATCTGAAAAAAGTGGAATGGATCAGAATAAATGACTTTATAAATGTATTTATTATTTGTTGTCTACTGTTTATCCAATCGTAGTGATAGGTTTAAACATTTATTATACGACATAAAGTTTTTGTTTTAAGAATTAAACACAATTACTTATTTGTCAGTTTTGATAATAAATAACTGTATAAAATAAAGTATATTTACTTATGATTTTATTTCATGCAATACGTATCATGACATTATATTAAAATAGCTTATCGGATTAGGGTTAAAATCTACAGGATTAATTTTCCGTTGTAAAAGATTCCTAATGGGCGGTTACATACTATAACGTAAAAAATCGTCTTTAGTTTTATAATTATGTATAAATTTTTGAATCTATTACTCATGGTTGACTAACATTATTATTACATTGTAGTTTGTCCCATGAAAAGAACTTAAAAATCATTTAAAAAAGCAAGGATTATCTCCGACTTACAAGGCATCGATGTGTTCTATTATGTTTAAAAATGCCCAACAGAGTTTCAAATGTATCATTATTAAGGTTTAAATCCATGAATAGTCATAACTGATTTGTTATACAAAAATGTCGTAACTCAATGAAGATACTATCTCAAGTTATGTCAGCTTTGCTTTAAACTAATGGCTAGATTTTACTACTGAATTTAAAAACAATGGGAATTATGCCGTCCGTTTGTAATAATATATACAGTATACATGTACATGTACGTATATTTATAAACACACACCTTGAAGTTTAAGTGTAACGTACTCGTAAAAAATATTTTCATTTCCGAATGAATCTAATATGTAGCATTGTCCTTTGTTTACATCTGTCAACTGCTTATTGATACAAAAAGATACTTCGTTTTTTAACATCTGCCAAGATAAATAAATCTGAACTTCTTTAATACATTCAAATATTGAGGTTATTCATTATCAAAATTTGTCAAATATTGTATGCAAAACAAACATCGAATTTACCCATAGGTTTCTACGTAATAATACAATAAATAAATAAATGAATAAATAAATAAATAAATAAATAAATAAATAAATAAATAAATGAATGAATGAATGAATGAATGAATGAATGAATGAATGAATGAATGAATGGATGGATGGATGGATGGATGAATGGATGAATGAGTGAATGAATGAATAATGAATGAATGAATGAATGAATAAATGAATGAATGAATAATTGATTAATAAAAATAAAGCAAAAGGGTACTTAATGATAACGAGATTCGGGTGGGGAAAGGGTTTTTGGGGCTCAGAGGTAAAGACGCAGTTTGTCCCCTGTGAAGCTTGACATTGGTTTCCCAAAGTAAAATGCGTGTATATAAAAATATAAAAGAAGATTCAAAATATTACAATACTATGCAATATAACGAGCAGCGTCAGGGAAAAATTTCTTTAACTTAGAAACGTTTTGATGTCATGTATATACATATACATTTGTAGATTAATTATCATTAGTAAAAAAATATTTCATATAATTTTCTTATAAACATATGTCGATAATTAAATAAACGTTAAGACAATTCTTTTACAAGAGCTGTTTTCATCTATAATAAAGTGGCACGAGAAAAAATGTGTAAAATAGAACTAAAGAAAGATATGGTAGGGTAACTTTTTATCACCTTTACTAACGTAACGGACTGTCTTGTGTATTTATTCACCTGACAACATTCAAACCAACCGAGACAAATCTAGAGAAGTTGTGATTTAAAGGAGGAAAGGGTGGGGTTTTCTTGCGTATAACGCTCGACCTTAAACCAAATAATTGTGAGTTCGTTATTAATTTATCAATAAATGTACATGTATTCCTGTTTTAGATGTTTTAAATTGGACTATTTACTTGTGCTGTACACTTGCACAGAGAATAAAAAAAACACTTTTGGGGTTTTCCGTCATGAAAGGTCCTCCGAAGGTCCTCCAAATGAACGTTCTATGTAATAGAAATAAACTACAAATAAATCAAATTTGAACAAGGATATGTGTATGTATGTACCAGTACGTGACACCAAGAAACAGTGTCAAGATAGACAAGTTTTTATGTATGAGCATATACCATTATCATGTACATGCCATTTCGCAGATGTTTAATGTACTTAATCACGACTTCTTTGATGTCAGAGCACGTTCTGCCGTTGAAACAATTAACACACATGTCGCAGTGTCTACATTTTACAAAAGTCATCAAATGAGTACAAAAGATAATTGACAATGCAGTATAAATAAATGTTTGTTTTAAATTTGCGTGTACGGATCGATGGCATTTACATTTGGTTTGTATAAAAGAACAGTTCCACGGTTTTCGGATTGTTTTGTGTCTACGGGTCATGGGAACTTGGTTGTTTGGATATTTATCCGCATGGCCGATGACATTAAACAATGCCTGATATTGAGACTAAAATAATATTTTTGTTCCCGTTGAGAAAATATTAGTGCCATCATTTGATATTTTCGATATTTGAACTTATCAAATGTCGATAACGTTATAATTCAATGTTTTGATAAAAATTCAATAGCAAATATGAGTGACAGATGGTGCAAAAATGATAGTGCATTTTTCCAGAAGAAAAAAAACAAAACATTAAGGCACATTAAATATCTTTTTCTTTCTATAGAAAATGCAAACGTTCTTGTGTTTTTTTATTGCTATAATTATTTGAAGTAAATAGTGATGAGTGTAAAATGGTTTGTGGCAACAGTAGGAAACTCAAAACAACATTTTGACCTCCATACAAACAAAAATCACTAAATTTAATAATCGACAAAACCCAAAAGAATATTCAGGTGTATAACCAACTTTCTAGAAACTGTATCAGACATAAAATTATTTTTATCACCATTATTATCATTATTATATAATTTATTAAATAAAATTTGATAAAAAAATACAATTCATTTTTTGAAAACATCATTTCTTAGCTTGACAATCACAAAGATATTGGTTTAAGTATTTTCAAAGATCTATCGTTTATGAATTAAAATACATTTATGACATTTAAAACTCCTTTTAACCTCCTTTTCCCTTGTAAGCAACAGACACCAACTTCCCTCCGAATTCCCCAACAAAACAAACATTTTCACCATGCCTTTAAATTATTGGAGTGTTCATTACACAAAGACATTACAAGAGGGGATGGACATTTGTTGACTTTTTAAATTATTGAAGGTATATATATACTTATATGAACTAAAACACACAAAAATTCAATATATTTAAATAAGATCAAGTACAAAGTTGACATGACTTTAATAAGCAAGGAGGTACTAAATATAAAGACAAATTTGTCTTAATGCTCAAGGAGCGACTCTTAAACTAATCGCGTTTTTTTTTATTTAATCGTTTTTAAATATATAATATATTTTTAGATTTCATGACCATCTAAAATGTTTAAAAATATCTAAGGATATAATTTAACATGTGGAAGTTATTAGGGACGAGCCGCCGAATTAAAATACCCTACAGATTGGCAGAATATACAAGTTACTTAAATGTCGTATTAGAGCAAGTTTCTTTTAACTGATTGTATTACATATGCAGAAATTAGCCACATATTCATACTGTTCAATCCATACCATTGGTGTTGCTTTGACCAACATTATATTTTGCACAACTTTGCTTTCTTCTGCAGTCTCCCGTCTCTCGGTAGCTATAGTCTGTTTTACTAGATTGATAGGTTTCGAATTTGTCATGATCTACGAAAACGCAAGACTGCGTCACATCTTAGACTAAGTCACATCTGGGACCGTAGAAATAAAATTATTAATTATCGCGAGTTGAACAATATTCAGAAAAAACGAAGTTTGTGCAAAAAAAAGTGGATCCAGGGGTTTGAACCCTGAACACATCTTGCATCATTCACCCGTTTCAACTCCCAAGTCTTTATAGAGCTTGGAATCTGCGGAAATATAAATATTTATTTTCTCAGATGTATTCATCGGTATGGGAATTATCGAGATCGATTTAACACCTCTCTAATAGGCATTATTATGTTCTAGTGTAGAAAGATTGCAGTTAAAATGGCCAATGTACAAACAAGCCAATAAAATCTCCCACGAGAATCACAACACTTAAAGTTAACATCAGTTTTCCATTAGCTGTCCATTTAGAGGTTATGAAATATCTCTTTTGAA